TTATCATCACTACCAGATGCTAATGTATTACCATCAACAGAAAAGAAGACTGATCTTACCCAATTACTATGACCACCTAATTTTGCCTGTTATTATCCTGTCTTAACATCCCATAAACGGATGGAATTATCTCTACTGGCAGATGCTAATGTAGTATCATCAGGAGAGAAGCAAACTGAATGGACTGCAAGTTCATGACCATCAAATTTGAGTATTTATTTTCCTGTTTTAACATCCCATAAATAGATAAAGTTATCTTCACAACCAGATGCTAATAAAGTACCATCAGTTGAAAAGCACACTGTGAAGACTGAGCATCTATGATCAAATTTGTTTTATTTTTCAGTTTTTTCGCACTTTATAAACATTAATTCGAAACTCTTCATTTAATATATTATTTTTGTAAATAAACATATTTTGGGTTAAATTATAAAAGACACACTATTCGTTTTAATGAGAAGGGGAAATAGAAAATTATTTAAAACCTCAGGAATTTGTTGATGTATGATCATAGATTTATTATAAGTGTAAAGTATTACAAATATAACTGTTCTTACAGAACTTAATGATGTTTGTTTATTAAATAATGAAGAAGGTTTAGAAAATTAGAGGTTTTGAATTTTTTTAAATTTCATCTTTGCATTTGAGTTTGGGTAACATTATGAGTTTGTGATTATTCTCAATTAATTGTTATTTATAGAATGAACATAAAAAATTTTGCCTTTAACTGACAATAATATTTTATTACGAAAATGATTTGGAATAAAAAAAGAAGTTGCTATTATCCAGATTTCAACAATGCCATTTTCTTAAATGTTTGTTTTATGGTTATAATTGAATGTATGTTCTTTTGATAAAATAGTTTTTGTAAACTTGATCCAAAAAATTAAGAAACAGCATTTGAAAACTCAGTCAAATTAAACAATTTTTAGATTAATAAATTATAATAACCGAGATTTCAATATTCTCAATATAGTTTTATCAGGAATTAGAAATTATGTTATTAAAGGAATATAAAGCTGATTCCAAATAATTTCTCTTGGACTCAAAAAGTTTATTCTATATTGGAATAATTTAATTATTTTTTAAGAATATAATAAATGTATGGAACTGTTTTCAAATTTAGAATTAAACTAATCTAATCTTTAAATGAATATAAAGAGTATGTCACTACTTTGAATATCATGAAAAAATAAAAATAATTTATATCTGGAAGTTTTGATTGATCATTCTAAATCTGTATATGGCTTAGTTTTATCATTTGGAGATGATGAATATTAATTGTAATAATCAAACCAGGATAGAATTTAGAATGGAAAATAAAAGATTTAATTACAGTGGGATGGCGTGGATTCAAATATGCTTATTGAAGATAATATTTTTAACTTTCTCATCAGTTTATAAAGAATTATCTCTGTTTTGAGATTAATACTAATAGTAACTAGTTTATTAAGACTAAAGATATTGTATAAAGGGTATATCAGATGGTTTTATAAGATTTCTTTAAAATTATATAAATTCAAAAGATATTCTTGAGAGTAAGAATGTAAAATATGTTAATTTTATAAGAAAAAATAATGGAGAATTTCAGACTTAATAATCTATTCTTTTTGGAGTTAGTTCCGTAGAGAGTTGAGTTAGAGTACTTGATAACTTGGGATATTAAACCAAAATAAATGCATTTAGAATATTTTAGAAATTATGAAAAATATAAATATGGATGGATAAATTTTACAAAATATAATTTTTATTTTTTTAAATGTAAGTTCTAACAATTTATTTGAAAATATGAATGATGAAAGAATTAGCAAAGAAAAAATGCATTGAAAAACAAAGAAATCATTATTAAGCACAATTAAATTTAATAATATTTTTGTTCCAAATGAAATTGAATTAGAACATTATAAATATTAGCCACTTAAAAATCTACGCCTAACTTGATTTGAAAATGATTTTAATGAATTAAGAGTATCTTAAAAATAATTTATTCTAATTATATAATTGCTGGTATTATCATCCTCCATTTTTAACGAAATTAAGTGCAAGCGAACTAGTTGCAGTAAAATTAAACTAAAAAGTTGCTTAGAAACTTTGATCCTTGGTTTATTATGAAAAGCTTTCTAAAAATGTCGAAAATTAAAGGCGGCCAATTACTTAAAAACTATTCAAAATTTTCTGATAATCTTTCTCTTTTAATAGACTGCAAATATTTGATAAAATGATCAATGTGCATTCTGATTTCTTTATAATAATTTACCAACAAAAACTACATTCTAACATTTAGGTAGAAATTCAAATTTGATTGCCGATCCAAATTTTTCCTTTTAAGTTTCTATTTTTATTAAAACTGTTATTGAATTTTTATTTTATTTTATTTCTTATTTTCCTTCTCTTAAAATAATTTTAGCATTTCTTGATGAAAGCGAGAGCCTCACATATAGCATAATTGTTATTTAAGGTCTAGTACACTTTTGCCATCAGTGACTTTAGTACATAGATTCTAGCCTTATTT